GGCGGCCCGCGCCTCCCTCGGCGCTCGCGTCGGCTTGGGGACGGGAGAAGAGGAGGAGGAGAAAAAGAACTCGTGGTAGAAGGCGCCACTCGCTGCCGACGCCGACAAGCGCAGTTGGTCTAGTGGTAGAATTCTCGCCTGCCACGCGGGAGGCCCGGGTTCGATTCCCGGACTGCGCAAACTTTTTCTCTCTTTCCTCGCCTCCTCTTGTGTGTTTTCTCTTTTCCTCCCCCGCACACGGCAGAGAAAAAGTGTGCGGAAAACGACGGGCCCAGCCGGGAATTGAACCCGGGACCTCTCCCACCCTAAGGGAGAATCATGCCACTAGACCACTGGGCCGGCGCGTCGGGCCGCGTTCTTTGAAGTTACAGCGTCGCACGGCGCGGAGAGCAAGGTCCGGGCCAGTGGGACGGGGAGCTCGCGGCTCGGCCACCTTTGCGGTGTTGTCGTCTCCGTTGTTTGTTGCTTGGATGCTTTGGGTTGGTTTCAAAACCAGCCAATTTTGGTTTAGATCCTTTTCTTTCCCCCATTCCTCCAAGACAGGGCGGGTTCCGGTGGTTTGGCGGTCGTCGGGGCGGCGTCTTTTTTTTTTCCTTCTTTACGCTTCGCTGTGGTGGCGAGTCTTCGTGACTTGTGTTTTTGTTTTTCCCTCTTGGATAGCAATGTGTTCCAGCTGCTTGATGAGTTTTCTTTTTTTAATACTTGAATGCTTCATAAAAATAATAGGAGGACGGCGCATTCTTCCCCCCGCCTTTCTCTTCTTCTGTTCATTGCCCTCTTTTGCTTTTTACGTTTCACAGGGATGAAGGGTCAGAGAAAGACGTCACATTGTATCCGTATATATATATATATCTTTATGATTAAATGTTTTCTTTTCATTTGATGGGAGGTGAAGTCGACAAATGACTTTTTATGGTCTGTCATTAGATACTTCATTGATAGCTATATTTATTTGACTTTGTTCGTACATGATATCTTTTTGCCTTGTTTATATACGTAAATAAATTTTGTCTGCACAACAACACAAACATGTTATTACTCATTGCTCTGATATATTCTTACGTTTACTTACTTTATAATATTACTATATATATATATTTCATTTTCCTTTTCCTTCCTTTTAGTATCACAGGCGGTTTCAAAGACCATAAAAAATGACGATGAATTTTGGTAACATGACCCTTGGGGGTGCCGCGGCAACCTTTGGGGGTCAATCAAACCCCATGTGCAACTATACCAGCCCTCTTGCCAAGAAGTTCGTTTATAAGGAGCTGGGCAAGGTATACTATCCCCTTCGTCGACATGTCTTTCGTCTGAAGGTGCGCACCGCAGCTGAAATTCGTTTTAACGAAATTGTAAAGAGATATATGAAGGACAAGATGAGTTTCAAGAAGGGATGCTATGCTGCGACCATTACAAATACCGTGGAATTGGACCATATGGGAAGCATTATTCCAAAGGATGAGTACGAAGTGCGTCGGCTCACAAGCTACATGACAAGTAAGAAAATGAGCAACGACTACAAAAAACACATTCAAGATCTGTGGACCCGTGTGCTTTTCGTTTGCGAATCTACAAATCTTGTTGGCGCTACTGAAAACGCCATGCACCACAACTCGCGCCCTGGCACAGATGAGGAGTTTATGGCTCTTATTTGGTATTCGACCTTTATTGCTACGTTCTCCGCATTTCTTTTAACCCTTTGTGTGTGGTGGTACAGGTACGGACAGGCTCCGCAATACGCGGAGTTCAAGTAAAAAACTGGGTTTCATTACTTATAGTATTAGGATATTTTATTTACGCGAGGGGATGGGTTATTACTTTGAGAGAAAAAAAAAAGACTCTTTTTAGTATGGTTTTTTTTTACGTAGTGGGAGATGATGAAATTAGTAGTTGGTTGTCACCCCCTGAATTTAGCAGTCTGAGCCTTTTCTTTTTTGGAGACTTTGGATTATAGGAAGAAAAAGAATGTAGGTAAACTTCCTCTCCATTCCTTTTTTCTTGTTTTACTTTTTCAATTATTTATTTGTTTTTATTTTGTTTTATTTTA